GGCATGTTTGGTGCCAGCGAGAGAGAAGGAAAGGCAGGACTGCAAAGGTTAGAGGAACAACTTTAAAAATAGGCTAAATGATGATGGTAAAGAGAGAGAGTTTGCTGATAGGATGGAGAGAAGGTAGATAAATTGTGTGCGCAAGAGACTAGACAGATGTGTGAAGCAACGCAAGAAGCACTGGAGATGGATTCAAACTGTTAGTCTTTACTGTTTCAGTTCGCTTATATGTTATTTAATATTTAAATTAAATTGGTAGTGTTTGTCAAAAGAAAGAATATTGATTCTTCTGTTTATAATTATACCATTTTTTTTAATAACAATGACTATAAAAGTGAAATCTGAACTGGAGTGCTATTTAATCATGACGACGTGTACTTTGTGCAGTCATGGTAGTAACTTCAGTGCACCCCATGAAAATTAATAGTTTAATCATAAAAATAATGTGTAAAACACACACATTTTAATGTAATGAAGGCATGTCAGTAAGTACACGTATAAACAGAAGAAAGAATGAAAAGCACTTATTCATACTTGTTCACAAACAATATTATATTCACAGACACATCCTTTCCCACACTACTTGTTCTCAAGCACACACTGTCTCACGTGTATAGACAGCTAACGTCGAGCCACCTAATACTTACAGACACTTTCATTTAGAATGAATGTCATCACTAATCCGATCTTAAGCTTCATCAAATGACTTTCTCCCCTTTCTATCAATCCATCTGTCTGTCCATCCATAGTCTCACTTCTGTTATCCTTATTCCTTCACATAATCACCGTACATACATTTCTCTTTCTTGAATTTCCATCTTCTTCACTTCCTTTTTTTATTGATCTCTTCCTCGCTCTACCCTCCTTGTAAGCCATTGTTACCCACTAATTGCCTTTTTGTCTTTCCAATGTCATATCCTCTTCTCCCCTTGTTTTCTTCCCCATTATTTCCTACTCTTCACCTCTATTTCCTCCAACTTCATCCTCTCTTTTTGCTGCACCATTTTGTTGCACTGATGTTTCTATTGTTTAGAGGAGAACCGATTTCCATTTCCTCTCTTAAACATGCATGCACCCAACTCTTGTCGCCGCCACATTCGAGTGCCGTACCCAAGTTTGTTTTAGATGTAGCTTTCTGTTACTGTGGCAAGTAGGTTGTTAGAATTAGATTTGGGCTCTGTTGCCAACCGTGACTGAGTCCTGCTCCTGTAAGGCTATAACTGAGCCCTGGCAGCTTTTGTTGGAAGCCAAAGGGAAGATGACAGGTGTGCACCAGGGACCTGTTAAAGGAATACCTTGACATTTAGAGATACTGCGGTATTTTCTTTTGTTCTATACATAAGTAAAGAAGTTCACACACCCGTTTTTTCACTGGCTCTTAAAGTGTCTCCTTTTCATTGTTACTATGTCTCATTAAAACCAATAGGCATGACAGGCTAATGAGATAGCTCTACACAGCTCTGTTAAAGAGGTTGCCCATTTTATTTAACACAAAATCATCTATTTCTTTTTGCCCATCTATTTCTACAGAGACAGAACTATGATATTAGTAACTTCTATTTTGTATTAAAGTCATTTTATCTACACTTGTTGGAGGCTAAGCGGTTCGAAGCTGTTGCCATTTTTTGTGTGAGACCAGTTACCATGGTTATGGTTGTGTGCCTTTCTTTAATGTTAGTAGAAGAATTATTATACCCTTTTTCACAAACACAATGCCCATGTCAAACTGCCCTACAGTAACAGAACAGACTGACTCTCCGCTTGTAATTTCCAAATTAAATGTCTGAACGGAACCGATCACTCCCCACTCTACAACTTGGTAGGCTCTTGACTGCAGAGTTACTGAAAATACGAATAAAAAGAAAGAACTTCTTTTAAATAAAATGAAATTATTAAGTGATGCTGAAGCCTATTAAGATACGAGGGAGCGCATTGGGGCTGGGAATAGCATTTACTGTAATCTGACTATTAAAACATTGATCAGGATTCATTTCTCATTTCAGTAAAATATACATTGTTGAGTGATGCAGAATTGATTCGATTATGACTTTATGAGTGTATTGCAGCAAGTGTAGGTATAGGTAGTACTATAAACCATTTTAGAGATTTTTTTTATTTATTTTATTTTGTCTCTTGTGTGTAATGTTGATAGAGATCAGGCCATGTTTTAATTTTATGATTAATTAATTAATGTTGAGATTATGAAATTCCAGTTTTTATTTATTTATAGGAATTTGAGTCTCTTAAGTATCAAAGAAATCAATCATTTCAAAAGTTCTGCAGATTTGTCTTCATGTTAATGCATGTACTGCTTTTATCGAAACAGATACTCAAAGGAAACATAAGCAGCACACACAGAGCGCTTGAGTGTGTGTGTGTGTGTGTGTGTGTGTGTGTGTATACACTATATGTACGGATGTTGTTTATACAGCTCAAGATGTGCCCCGTCAGCTAACGTGAAATCATTAGTTATACTAATTGGTTCCTCACTACCGGCGTATCTTAATCCCTCATTCCTCTCTTCCTCTTTTTCCTACATTCATCTATTTCCCTCCTTCTGTGTCACCTATCTTCTTCAAACCACTTCTGATATGACATTTTGTCTCTCATTCTTTTATCTGACCCTCCTTTCCATCTATTCTTCCTTACTCTTGCACTCATGGCAATTATATTCACACTTTTTCACTTCCCCTGTCCTCATTTCTAAAATGAAGTAGACAAATAACAGGGATGCAGATGTCTGCTGAGATTACCGTCCAGCCTGTGGGTATGTGTGAGAGAGCGAGAAATAACAAGCACAGCTTCCTTGAACATTACAGAGTAAATAAATAGGCAAGTGAAGCTGTCAATAGAAGCGAAGATTGTCTAATGATTATTGCTTAAAACTCACCTTGTATCTTATGAAGACAGGAGAAAATAAGGCAGACAGAGCAAAGGAAAAAACAGATAGTTTTTAGAAACAATTGTGTTTTTTTTAGCTGTCCACAAAGTTGTAATTAAGGCTAATACATCAATAGCTGAAAATGAAACTGTGTTCTTTTTTGATTACTGTAATCTCTTGTGATTCTTTAGAACATGATTTTTGTGACTGGGAAGCCACATCACTCTGTGCAGCCTGATAGTGGATTATACAGTATGTTTTCAGTAACTGTGCTTGATTATGGTTCAAAATGTATTTTCAAAAAATCAAACCAAGGTTATCATGTTAATCTACTGAACTACTTCTGATCGTATAATGTTCCAACATTAGAGTGCAATACATTTTTGATTTTTTGACTGGGTATTTCACTAAGCTTGTCTGGACACATAACCCAGATCCAGTGACACCAACAAGAAGCTGCTAAAAAACAGTGATTAAGTCCATCAAAGGATGCATTAAAATAAATTAAATGTGGCCTTTATTGTTTTGTTTTGTTGTTTTGTTTTGTTTTGTTTGGGTTTTTTGTTTTTTTATTATTTTGTTTGTTTTGTTTGGGGGTTTTTTTTGGGGGGGGGGGGGGTTTGCTTGCTTGCTTGTATGTTTGTTTGTTTGTTTTTTTGGGGGGGTGCATTTTTTGTATCAGCTTGTGAAAACTGTACAAAGGTTCAAACACTGGAAATCATTTGTTTAGCTAACTTGACATCCAGATATAGCAAAGAAGTGTTTAAGTACCAAATATTATTATCCTTATATTTATTTTTGTGTTAATATCAATAAATATTTATTTGATTTTAGAAAATCCAAAATAAACGACAACAAAAAAATCACTGAACACAGATTTGAAAATATGTTTTTTGAGTGATCTCATGTTCAGATATGAACATTTTATTCTTATCTATCTTCTCAACTTTACCTGTAAGTCTAAATATTTGTTGGATGCTTTTTTGGTATTCAATAATGTTACTGACCTTGCCAACTAATATAATAATCAAATTATTCTCTTTTAGAAACAAGACACATGGAACTTTGCTGGCCTTTTGACCCTGTTCTTCCTTTATTTTTATTTTAACTTGTTTGCATTTTTCTGTGTAATTTTGAGTATGAACTACTTTTGGACTTATTGAGATTTTTTACCCCCTTTCAATCTGTAGTGGTTCAGTCCAGTAGTGGTGGTACTGGCTTAACCAATCAGCTAGTACCACCTTGTTAAATGCTAATTGGTCAGCATTTGCGAATGTGTAATTGGTCCACTTTCTTCTGTTTCCTGTTTTTGTGTTTAAACACAAACTGTTTGATATTGTGTAATGAACCTGATGAAGGCCACAAGGCGAAATGCGTTGGTCACCCATTAAAGTTGTTCCCTAATACTTTAAGTGTCTCTGGAGTCTTCACATCATCAGATCTTTGTCTTCTCCATGCACCTTGGAAGTAAATGAACTTGTGCAAGTAAATTTTGTTGGCCTTTCAACCCTTTAAGAAGTCTGTTAAATTTCAAATAAGCATATGTTTTTAAAAGAAACTATAGAATTCAGATTCAACAGTTTGTGATCATTTTTTTTAATTAAATGTGGCGCTTAAATCATCTATCTTAGACAGTCTTATTCTTGTCTGATTTGTGATAAGTGTGATACAATATCAAATCACCTGGAACAAAAGAGCTGTTTCCAGTGTGTTTGTTTTCTGTTGCATGCTAGTACTTCACTTCTCTTTTCTCCCACTGATTTCCTTCCATTTCTCATAATCTGTCTTGCTCTCTGCCTCATTCACTCCCACCCTACCTCTTTATCAAAAGAGACCTGTTCTACATAGAAATTCCTTTTTGTGTCTTCATAGATCTTTCATGATGACAACCGTAGTCAACAGCAAGAAGTAGTCATTGCCTTCAGCAATGTGACCTCTCTTTCGACGCACCAAGCATTCCTTGGTTCCCTTTTTTTTCTTTTTCCCTTTTTCAAATTCTCTTTGTTTGTGCATTACTTTCAGCACCAAGACCATCCCTAAGAGCTTTGCCCCCTACAGCTGGATTCTTTGTAACTTTTGTTTCCATGTTTTATGCATGTTTTTTCTTTTATGTTTACAGATCTTTCTAGATGCCAACACTATCAGACTGGGCAACATTCCCCTTGGTAGTGCTGTGGATCCCCTGGAGGGAGCGCCTGCAGGTACCACCTACACCAAACAGACTGTGTACGAGCTTTGTGCCTGTGCTAACGGCAAGCTCTACCTGTCCCCTGCTGAGAAAGGCTCTACTTGCCAAACCACCAGTAACTTTTGTCTCTGGAGCTGAAAGCGGGAGGTCGAAATACACACGGGACATATGGACGATTGAGTTTGAAGCTAATATAGCCAACAGACTGAATCACCATGGATTTATGGCTTGATGGGAAGCTTTTGCCAGCTAACAGACTGAATCAGCATGAACTGTAACAAGGCGACAATTTCATGTCTGTTCACCAATCAAATAATATGGATTACAGCTTGGCAGGAAGCTAATGGTTGCTAACAGGCCAAATCAACATAGACTGTAGCTCGGTGTTAAGCTAATGCCAACTAAAGGACTAAATCAACAGAGACTAGAGCTTGAGCAAAGCTAATACCAGCTCACTGGTTGAATTAATGTGTTGGTGGGTAGCCAATGCCAGTCCAGAGCATGGATAACTTTGTGGGACACAAAAGCCAACAAGATCAGCTGATGGGTTTCATGCTTAGACCACTCTTGGACATATGTGAGCAGTCTCCTTCTGGGGCTGTTGTTGAGTGTCTTTCCCATTGTTTAATTGCTGCCATGATGATTGCTGAAGGTCGCAAAGACGTTGGTTTTTTTTTTTATGAACAGCAACCTTTGTGTGTTCAGAAAATAGCCAACATGTCCTGACAAGACATACACTTGTTGCTATAATATGATGAAGGAACACATACTTGGCAGTGACATGGACATGAAAACTTGGTTATCAGTTGGCTAACAGACATCAATGATGACATTTGTTTACCCCAGTGGGTAGCTAACAAGAAAATCAAAATATAGTTTTGTCTCTAGGGAAGCTAAGGCTAGCTAACGGACCAATCTATACCAGAAAGGCCTTCTCCCTCTATTTCCTCTCCAGCCCTTCAACTCAAACATTGACATGTGACTCTTCTGCATTAATCCGCACCTGATAGTAAAAATGTTCTCTATCCCCACTTTTCATATGATAACTAATGCAAATTATTGTTATTTAACCATTGTATTCACCAGCTTCTTTTCCTAGTATTTTTTTTTACATTCTTCATATCTATTTTTACTTTCTTTTAGTTTTTTCTGATGAAATCTTTTACTTCTTCTCTTTTTTCCCAATCAATGTTTTTGTATTCCTTTATCATTTCATATTTTGCAAATGTGCCCCTCTCCATGCGCTAGTTATTTGTTCTGTCTATGCACCTACTAGCACTGTTCAGGTAAGGAAAAGGCCTATCTATTTCTTCCAGCAGTGTAGTTTAAAAATGAAAAAAACGCCACATACAGACTGCTTCGACTTCCTCCTCCACCATTGTCTCCACATCTTTTGTTTCTCACAAGTTATTCTATGTGGACATATGATGGTTAGCTACAGACAGCAAATGGAACATAAAAAGGGAGGAGAAAATGAGATATCAGTCTTCGATCATACTCAGGTAGGTGCTGTAGCAGACAGACCACTTTCTGGTATAGGGCCAAACTTCCAACGCCAGGCAGAGGCAGCAGTCAGCTGAAAGACAGACCAATTTTAGTCCTCTTATGGGGTATTATACGTCTTCATCCAGGCTGTCTTGCCGGTCATACTGTCTTTACATCTTTTTTGCTTGACCTTTCTGCTTTTCATGCCAGGTTTGTGCTCTTCCTTCTCAACCACCAAGAGACATTTTCACTCTTTGTGCTCAGTCCATTTTGTCCTTTCTGTATTTTATTGCAGTATGCCTGCCACTCACTATTCATTGTTTATCTTCCCAGTTAAGAAGCATCTCACCTGTTTATCTCATATTTTTATCCCAATCATCAATCAACTAGCATACATTAATGTTGTTTCCACATCCTATCCGTTATGCTTTCTCCAGTCTAAGTTGGAAATGTCCCTCTATAGTCATAGTATTCTCCCTTTCAAAATATCTCTAAATCTGGGCAAGAAAATATGGAAATCTTGGGAAATACTATTTTGGGGTGTATTTTTGTTTTTTATATTATTCAGTCAGTCCCAGAAGGGGGATCAGTGTGAATGGCCATGAGCTGGTTAACCTGGTGCCCAAAATCTGTAATGGCTGGCGGAAAAAAAATTTGTGTGGAAGAAATCCCCCTGCAAGAAGTGATGGATGGGTTTGGTTTATATGTGTATGGACTCAACGAGAATAAGGCCCTGCAGCTTACTTTCTTTTTTAAACAAAGCGATACACAGGTGCCTTTGCTACTGTTGGTAAAAGCACATCACAGTCTGAACATTCACACTACCCTCAGTGGACCATCTGCAAGTGTCTCTGAACTATCTATTTTATCAATCTACCTATCTAGTTTGTTTTCCCTTTCTGCCCCTTCCCTCCTGGTTTTGTAGAACTCTCAGTATATCCAGCTGAACAATGAATAATTCAATCATTTAAAGTTTAATTTTCTGATGTGTTCCCCTATGGTTTATTCTTGATAATAAAAAAGCACAAATTATGCCATGTATATAACAATACCAATAAAATACAAAATAAAATAGTATTGTTTTTAAAAAGAATCTCTTGAACTGGTGTTGTAATTAGTATGTAACCATCACTTTTTTATGTTCCTAACAATGTTTTTTTTAAGGTATATAGAACATCGAGAAGCACTTGGTCAGACAAGAACACAACTATCTTCTGGGACTTTTTATCTTGGGAAAGCTATACCATATTTAACCCTGCTCTTATCCTTTTCTTTGCCTGCTACCTTTTACCTGAAGAACTTGGTTTCAACAGGAGAAGGATTTGAAAGACCGCTGCCAGCTGTACCGCTCAATTACAGTCTGACAACTCACTTTAACAATACATAAAGCAGAAAGGTTGGTCTTGCACTAGAATGCAAACATGGCCAGAACTGCTACCAAAGATAAGCTGAGAATATAACTGTCTGTTAAGGACACCATCACTTTGCCACGTCATTCCAAAGAAAATAGTTTTATGGGTTGTTTTTTTTGCTATATTATTAATTGAACATGAATAAAACTAAATGACTATCATTGCATCATTTCAGATGGACTTTGACTGGGCAGTTGTGACACCTTGATGCTTTTCGTTGTCAGCTCTTCTGCTGTAAATTTGCTGTTGTGCTTGGGATTCTTGTCCTGTTGCATGGCCCAGTTTCAGCCAAGGTTAACCTTTTTCTCCCATAAAGATCACAACTGACATCGTCCCCTTGTACCCTTGATTTCACATTTTGACCTCTCAGTGTTTATCAATAAAGATGTGGTTTGACGACCATTAGCATACTTTCCAGGATTTTCTAGGGGTAACTACACAGGCAATGACCACCCACACTAACTTTTGATGCACACCTAGTTATTTTGTTATGTAAGCATGCCTGAAATGTGGATGAAACTGCTTGGTTCAGAAAAGAGCTTTGAGGGTTACTCCTAGTAGGCTTTCAAAGGATAAAGGGCATACTTTCAATCAAATTGTGTCAGATTTTACTCCAGAGTTCATGGTTGACTCGGTGACTGCAAGGTATCCAGATCCTGGCTCTAAAATACCCAAATCATCACCCCCTCCTCCACTGTGCTTGACAGGTGGTATGAGGTGTTTGTGCTTGTATCCAATGTTTGTATTTGCTCGGATGTCTACTAATGGGAAGATTGGCAACTCACTTGAAAGTTTTCCATTTGTGAATAATCTTTTTCATTGTAGAATGTACAGTTGTTTGAAAATGGCCTTATAACCTTTCCCAGATCGATGGGAAGGAACAATTACTTCTTTAAGATCACTGCTGATGTCTTTCCCCATTGGGTATTGTGTCAACTCAACTAAATGCTCAAGCAGGGGTGATTTTAGGATCGAACATTTATGGAAGCCAAGCCCCCAATTATAATATCACACATATTCCCCTTGCAATGGACTATGATGCTGGCAAAACATATTCAATCATTTTCACATCTCAGTTTGTACTGTCGTGTAAAAAAAAAAAAAGAAAAAGATTCTGAATGAATCATCACAGTTTTTACTATAATACAGGGTGGATACTTGAGTTATCAAACTTGAGGCAAAGGCATGTTGATCAGGATTTCTTTAAGTAAAGTTAAAGAACTATTTTTAGCAAATGCGAGGAGAAACTTGCACGGTTTGTTTCAGAGTCTTTTCACCACGTAAAGGCACTAAGAAGGGCAACAATTAAGGCAGTATCTTTTTTGAAGTAACAGGTCATTTTAAATGCAATGTTTCGATCAGCTTGTACTGAGGTATCTCAGAGATTAATTGTGCAGCTAAACTACTGTACACTGATAGAAATGGGGAAAAAACTTTAGACTGGTCCGGCCCACCTAAGATCAAAGTGGCATGTACGTTGGCTTCAAAATGCATTTCACATCCATGGTATAAATGGTATACTGTTAGAGCAGGGGATGGAAATCAGCCAAGATTGCTCCTGAAACTTCTGCTTACATCTTGTTGAATTCAGCTGTGTGACTCCACAAAGAGCAGTAAACCTCAGAGCAGAAGCAGGTCAGCTCATCACACCCTGTACACCAAGAAAACATACTAGAGCTTACAATAGGAATGAATGTGAGTTGTGATCGTTTTCACCTTGCTCAGCTACTAAAACAGATCTTAGGATTCTGCCACCTGCCAAATGTCACTTTAACCCCTGAGTATACACATTTTTCTATAGAGGTAAACTCACCCTCTAAACATTTATTTTCGTGTCTTTCAAAAATCATGAAAAAAATTGTTTACAGACACATGTAACCACATAGATGCTTTGGGGCAGAGCAACCCTGACCAGCACATTCAATTGTCATTTATCAGTGAGGCCGGTGGGTCACATGACCCTTAGGCTTCCTGACAGTAATGGAAGGATGTTATATGCTCTAACCTATTTTAAAAATGTACAGGTAGAACCATTTAAAATTGTGTTGTGGTCCTATAAAGACAAGTGATTCAGAACCTTATTATGGTAAAATGGTAAATGGCCTGTATTTGTATAGCGCTTTTCTAGTCCCTAAGGACCCCAAAGCGCTTTACACAACCTGTCATCCACCCATTCACACACTCATTCACACACTGGTGATGGCAAGCTACAATGTAGCCACAGCCACCCTGGGGTGCACTGACAGAATGCGCCGAACACTGGCGCCACCGGGCCCTCTGACCACCACCAGTAGGCAACGGGTGAAGTGTCTTGCCCAAGGACACAACGACCGAGACTGTCCAAGCCGGGGCTCGAACCGGCAACCTTCCGATTACAAGGCGAACTCCCAACTCTTGAGCCACGATCGCCCCCATTATACCTAAACCTTATTTGTATAGAACCTTATAGTGATGCAAGATACAATGACAACTTGTGGGAGTGAAGTCTATTATCTTGCATTATAGTTTGTTTTGAAGGGCACTTATGAAGGAGGCCAAATTTACTCAAATTGGCTTTAATTAGTGTGAGGTTACAATCTTAAAAATGACAATGTTTTGAGTGTAATTTATTTGTCATGGTGCCTGGTGAGCCAGGGTTTTGAGTTTTGCAAATGTTTAGAATATAATGTAATATAGTGAAACAATGTGACAATTCAGATCAATAGCAGGCAGCTGAAGGAGAATCATGTAAACAAGCTGAAATCAGACCCCATTTCCAGCAATCTGGTTATTGTGGTGGGAGTGAACTTTTCATAAGTTCTGGGGCGATCTGCTGCATCTCCCCTGCTTCATCGCTGCTCCCTGTAGTTGGCGTGCTCTGTCAGAAGTTGACTAATTACTGACACAATACCGCTTGACAGTATAAAATAACACGGCCAACTGATTCAGCATTGTGCCCTCATTCAATCCACTCGACGGTGAGTCAAGTTACTTTGTTTGTTTTCTTATAATTAATAATGCAGTCAGTGAGCTAATGCTAGGCTAGTGAAGCTTAAATTTCATTACTGGTTTTGATTTCTGTTTGAAGCTGTAGGTTTTTATTAAAGATGATATTCTCATATTATAACAATATGAAACATTTTTGTTGCCTAAGCAACAAAACATAAAAAGTTAAATTAACAATTAAAGAATCCTTTTTCTTATTAAAAGTGCTCT